TATTGCTGTGCTGCTAGGCTGCCCACACAAACCCGCTTCTTAAGTGTATCCTTTCTTGCACATCTTTGGATTACTTGGCATATACATTTTATCTTCTCTTGTGTTTCTTTGATCTGGGGTCATGGTTGGTTGTATTCTCTTCCTGAAAACTGTAATTCAGGGTGCCTGGGTGGCTCAGTCATTAAGCGTCTGCCTTCGGCTCGGGTCATGGTCCCGGGTCCTGGGATCGAGTCCTGCATCGGGCTCCCTGCTCGGCGGGAAGCCTGCTTCTCCCTCTCCCACTCCCCCTGCTTGTGCATGCTCTCTCTCTCTCTCTCTGTCAAAAAATAAAATCTTAAAAAAAAAACTGTAATTCTTCAGCCATGATAAACAAGATTTTTTTAAAAAAATTATATCAGTATCTCAATATTCTATTCCAGCAACCACCCCCTACCTCTTTCTTCCCTATTCTGTTCTACTAATGTCTTTTCACTGATCTGTTTCAGACTTTCTGGGAGAAGCTGGGCAGGCATCACTAGTGTTCCTGTTGGTAGAAACAACGCCTGCATTAGAAAACAGTGAAAATTCAGGACCAAGGACAGCGGCAAAGTGGTGTTGGGGCTCCAGATTTCAACTTTACTCTTAAGAGAGATGATTTGTATATCACAGGTGTTCCATAAACATTAAATCAAATTGAAAATATGAGTAGAAGAGTTCATTAATGTGCACTGCCATCAAATTAGCATGAGCTTGCCCATGTGAATATCCCACCAGCTCTCTCAACTTTATGTACATAACTCTCTTCTTTTCCTTTTGGTACAGGTAATAGAAAAAAATGTTGATCCTGAAACAGTGCTGTTACCATAGCTGAGGAAGAAGCGTATCCTTTTCTTTGCTTTGAGTGTGTGCGTGTGTGTGTGTATAGTGCTAATATCCTCATCAGGTGATGTTTCAAATATCTTTTTAGAGCCGCACTGAGTCCTATTCCCTACCATTATGATTTTATGTTCTTCTTTAAGAAAGTCCTACATTTTAGTTTTGTAGGCAGTGCACAGTTGTGGCTGTCAGAAGAACCAAATTCTTTCTAATCTCTGTTTTGGCACTAAATACGTTGTATAAAATGGAGAAACTAGCAGTGGGAATTAAAGCAAATCTTAAAAGGGCTTAATTAAGCATCCTTTCGAATTAAGAGTCACAATATTGACATTCTATCTTCAAGAACTAATCATCATGCCCATTAGGAAAAAATAGCACAGAAATCTCCTGAAATGAAAGTAAAAGAACCGTGGAGAAATTAAACCTGAAAATGTTACCTTAGAAAAACTTTGTAAATTTAAGTCATGTAAAGAATGGATTCTTAACCTGCTATGCATGAACTCCAGTAGGCTTCCTGATGTCTATAGACTCCACTAACTTATATGCAGAATTATGTGACAATGGGAATTTGTACATTTTTATTCCCTCTAGAGAGAGTGAGACTCCCCAAAGAGTACACAACTCAAAAGGCATCAATGACAATGTTCTGGAAGTCATTCAAGATCTTTGGACGTAAAAACAATGGACACTGATTTCCTGGTTATCCATGGTACTAATGTGTAATATTTAAGATTTGGTTCACTTGTGAGTTACAGAAAATCCCAAATCACAGTAAATAAGGTAGAAGTTAAAAGTTTATTCCTTTCTCATTGTGTTAGTTTCAGTTCTCTTGGAAGCAGACACCAGAAATGGGATTAAATGTGCAAGGGTTGTATTAGGAGAGATGCCTGAGTGAAAGGAAATAGTGAGGGAGCTAGAGAAGGCTCAGGGAGACATTAAACCACAATGCGAGTGCCACCTGTGAAGAAGAGTGGATGAGGAAGCTGAGTGGGAGGGTCCAAGGGTGCTGTGCAGTCTAAGGCATATTCATCAAAGCCATTGGGGGTGGCTGATAAGGACTCCATGTCTCTCCATAGAACTAAACCATTGGTGGGGAGCAACCCCTGGGAGTCATGACCTCAGTGAAAACTGGGGTGATAGAAATCAAAATGCAGCAGCTGGGTCTCTTCTTCATTTACCCTCCCATGTTGAAGGAGGTCTATGAAACACATTCTCATGGCAGTCACACTCACATAAAGGAATCCCAAAAGTAGGTGGATTAGGGCTAGTAAAGCAGTGTCACAACCTTATTAGGGAGCCAAGCTCCTGAGTCTTGCTGCCCCACCCTCCTCAGCATGCACCTTTCTTCTCATGGTCAGAGATGACTAACTGAAGTGTAGCCATCATATCTGAACTCCAGAAAATAGGAGGTAAGCGATGAAGGGGACGCCCCTCTCCTTTTGAGGACATTTTGTTCTGGAGGTCATACACAGCACTATGTTACCTCCCATTGGACAGCATTGTCATTAACCCCACCCAGCTGCAGAAGAGGCTGAGAAAATGTATTCTTTATTCTAGGCAACCACGTGTGTGACTAAAAATTGAAGTTTCTTTTACAAAAAAAGAATGAGAGAAGAGATATGAGCATACAAGTAACAGTTTCTGCCACCAGGAATTAGAGAAATACAGTCAACATGGATAATAACACACAAATATTCCAAGAATGATTTACAATTCTACATTTTTCTTTGTATGTCATCAAAGATGCAGATAAGGATAAAGACAAATGTGCAATGTACTCATGCTTTCAAATATTCAGGCCTTTATATGTACAGACTCTTTTTTAAAGTTTGGCCCTGTTTTGGCAATATGATGTCCATTTGTTTTGAGAGGGAGGAGATCAAATATAATACACAAATGGAAATCAGGAATGCACAAGATTCTAAATAGTAGCAGCTAAGGCATCATTTGAACTTAACTATATATTCAAGAGTCTTTTTGATGGTGTTGTCCTCTAAGGTCAGAGCTATTCTAGAAAGAATTTTAGAAAACACATTATCTTTAACTATGCTCTTTCCAGTTCGACTCACAGGAACTAAGTATGGCTGTGGAACAGGAGGCTGTGGCGCCTGCACAGTGATGATATTGCGATATACCCCCACTGTCAAGAGGATAAGGTAGCTCACCGCAAAATCCAGACATGGTTGTATTTTTGAAGTCTTGAACTTTGTTTTATTCCTTCACTTGAGAAATATGGAGGAGCACCTACTATGCAACAAGAACTGTGCAGGCGCTGGGGGTACAATGATGAACAAGATAGACATGGTCCCCGGAATGTGAGTGGGTTAGAAAAAAAACGTACCATCAATGAGGATAACATATGGTCAGAGAATCCCCTTTTGAAAATTGAAAGGCTGTCTGACTCCCTGTGCTGTCTGGGAAGGAAAGGAGGGGATGAAATAGCTGTGAAGAATAATGGCATCATCACACTTTTATATTACTGTTACAGCCTAATAAGTGATGTCCTTGCTCCCAGCCTTGCCCCCTGCCCATATGATGAATTCCATACATCAGTCAGAAAGATCCCTTTCAAGTATAAAACACTCTCCTACTTAAAAATCACCAATGGCTTCCCATTACATTTAACATCTTCTCTTTATGTTTGATATTTATCCTTCTTCAGGTTCACCAATTTCTTGGATCTGTGGGTTGATGGCTTATATCAGCTTTGGAAACTTCTCAAGTCATCATCTCTTCAAATATTTACTCTCTTTCTTTCTCTTCCTCCCCTCCTCCCTCCCTCCTTCTCCCTCCCTTTCTTTGTCATTCCTCTTCTCTCTCCTCTCTCCCCACTCCTCTCTCTTGGACTCCAACCATGCATATCTTAAACCATTTACATCATTCTGCAGATCTCAGATGAGGGCTAAGGATCTGAGCAGTGGTAAGATTTCAGAGATCTGCCTGTATTCCACAGCCAGGTCACCTGCTTCCTGAACTCTGGGTGATCCCTCCCTGCTGTACAGCCTGGCTACCCACTTTCTAGTTCACCAGGAATTTCTCTTTGCTCTCCCATCTCGCTTCCATGCTCTGGGAGATCTCTTGCAGCCATGCCTCCCTGTCTTTAGCCTCTAAAGGATGGCAACTGCCCTACCCTCTGTGAAGCCTGAGTGCTTACAGCTCTGTTCTCCTGCTTTCCCCCCAGCCTTCCTCATCTAAGAGTCCATGTGCCTGGAGAGGTTTTTTTTGTAGCACTCCTTCCCTACCCTTAGTTTTAGGGTATTACCCTCAGCACTCAGTGAAATTTGGTGGGGAAGAGTTTGGGGAGCGTGCAGTCCAGCTTTGAATTTTAATTTGTTACATCAGCCCACATTAAAAATTTGTTGAAAATTGGTGTGGTTTCTCCCTACTCCTGTCTAAGGCAGATTCCTTCTCCTCCATCCACGTCAGAGATGAGGACAGCTATATCTCATCTCTCTTATAAAGGGCTTGTACTTAATAGGGTTTAGGTCATTTAAGTTTCTTTACATACTCAGCATCTGATGAGTTTTTTAAAAACTATAATTATATAGCTTATATGGCTTGTTTTGGTTTTTAGAATGAGAGTGAAGGTCTCTTACAAGTTTCTAAATGAAGCCTTACAATTACCTACCTTGTGTGTCTCTCAACCTGGAATTCTACCATTTCTCCTATATTCATTATGCTCCAACCTCACTGGCCTTCTTTCTGTCCCTAAACACCCCAAGCTCATTCCTGCCTCAGGGCTTTTGCATGTGTTGTCCCTCTACCTGGAATGTTTGCTCCCAAACCTTCATGTCTGGCTCCTTCAAATTATTCATGTTCCAGCAAAAATGTTACTTTATCAGCCCTCTTTGATCACCTTATAAATAGCAATGCCCACCTCACCTCTGCAACTCCTTATTCCCTTTGCCTGTGTCAATTTATTCATAGCACTTCTTACTATCTCAGTTTATGTATGTATGTATGGTCTGTGTGTATATGTATTGTCTGTCTTGCCTCAACTAAAATACATACTCTACAAGGGCAGGAATTTTATCTGTCTTGTTGACCAATGAATCTTAGTGCCTCAAACTTTGCCTGGCACATAGTAGACACTCAATAAATATTTACATTTAATTAATAAATGAATAATATTCTTCCAATCTTTCTTTCATGTGTGTATATATATATAGATGCAATACTGTTTAGAAACCTGTATATTTTGCTTCTAAAACATGTGCATGAGCTGAGGACAGGATGTATTTGCAAAGCCTGAGGCATCATACAAAACCTGCCATATTGGAAGTGCTGGGTGAATGCTCAGTCCTGTTTCCCCCTGGGTACAGTGTACTTTGTGCTTCTCTTTTGCATTCGGAAGCCATCATGCCACCAACGCCTGTCTGACCCCCATCTGTTCTCTGCGCGGGGCTGCTGTCACCACAGTAGAAGGCATAGGAAGCACCAAGACCAGGATTCATCCTGTTCAGGTGAGGCTGTGCTTCTTCCTCATAGGGTTTCTGAGCTTCAAAAAGCATGACAAGCCACAGAGGTTAATGCAGTAGAACAGTCTGAGCCCTGCTGCTTGGTCACTGCCCGTACATGAAACTGAGCTTGAGGCTGGGAGTGACACCTGGTGTGGGTGTGTTTTATAACTGATTGCTTAGAAATATGCCTTTGGAAGACTAGAAGACTTTTTCTTTTGGAAGAAAACCCTGACGCTGCTGTGTTTGTTTTTTTTTGTTCTAATTGGATGGGGCCTATCCGTCTTTCATCTTCCAAACTCAAAAAACAAGAGCTATCTGCATTGAGGGTTATAATTTTTTTTTTTTTTTTTTTTACAAAGTGGAAAATAACCGGACTTTAAAGCTGGATGAAAATCTCAGCTCCAAAAAGATTTGTTAAATATAGGACTTGTTCAGAAGACAGATAATAGGAGTTTTGATAAATCTGGAGGCTTTTCTCCCTAAGGCAGTACCTTGTTAGAACTTTACTTCAAATGAAAGGGCACCTCAGACTCCTGGCTCTTTAAATTATTTATATGTTGCCCATAAAAATGCTGTTGCTACTTGTTTTTATCTAGGTTAATGAAGGTCACTTATGAGGAGAGGATAGAAGAGAAAAAAGATAGAGACAACATAGAGAATACCCAAACTTCACATTTCCCTGGATTTGAAGGAATGTCGGGGACTGTTCCTTACCTCATTACCTAGAGGGAATGAATTCTGCCTGGGCGCTCTTGTGGCATGTAACTGTTCCCAGCTGTGAGACATTCTTTCATTTAGTAGCTGCTGCTGAGCTCCTGGTGTTGCAATGTAGCCAGCAGACAGCTTCCAAAATGGGGTTGCACCTTTGAAGTTAGACTCCAAAGAGAAAGTGCTGGGAAGGAAAATGTTTGGTAGAGAAAGAGGCAATGTTTCCTTATTGACTGTCTTCTGGATTAATGGTTGCACTTTGTAAACAAACGTCTACGTGCTGAAGTGATAGGGCCATCGTGGGCAGCTAGGCTTGGTTTGGTTTGGTTTTTTCAACGTGCACACACTTGGCTTCACTTCTCAAAGGGACCTAAAGGGGGTAAGGTTTGTTTCAGTGATTCCCATTCCGGACTACATATTGAAACCACCGGGGAATCCAAAAAATATATGTGTGTGCTCTTGGTGTGGGCTGCTTCTTGGGCCTTGGAAATTTTTAAGTTCCCCTGGTGATTCCAAAGGCTGAGAACCTTTAATGAAAGGTGAGGACCAGTAATCATAGCCACCCAGTCTGAGAAAAGGAGACATCTAGATGGGAAGGATTTTCCAGGGCCTCTTCTCCAATTTTATTGTGCAAACAAGTTGCCTGGGGATCTTGTCAAAGTGCAGGTTCTGATTTGGTGGGTCTGGGATAGGACCCAAGATTCTGCATTTCTAAACTTGCTGTGCTTCCAGGAGAGGATCGCCAAGTGTCACGGCACGCAGTGTGGCTTCTGCACCCCTGGGATGGTGATGTCCATCTACACATTGCTGAGGAACCATCCAGAGCCCTCTCTGGAGCAGTTAACTGAGGCCCTTGGTGGTAGGTTATATGTATGTGTGCTTTTGTTTTTAAATAATGGTGATGGTAAAAGGTGAAGTTAGACACTCACTGTGTGCCACATGCTGTATTAATGTTGTATAAAGGTTGTCTCATTTACTCTTTATGATACCTGTGTAACATAGGCGTTGTTACCGTCCCCATGTTGTAGATGGAGACACTGAGGTTTAGAGAGAATAATTTATTTCAAGTTGTACCACCAATAAGTGGAAGAGTTACTTTGTTCAAATTAGGATTCAAACAAGATCCACACATCGCACTTGGCTGATATATTCCTTGTCTCTCTTAATTTATAAAAGTCTCCTCCCTGCCTGGGTGCCTCAGTCCATCTTCCCTGTCCCCCCGCTCGTGCTCTCTCTGACGGTCTCGCTCTTTCTCTCAAATAAATAAATAAAATCTTTTTTTAAAAAAAGTCTCCTTCCTTTTTTATTGTTTGCTTATTTTTTTAAGATTTTATTTATTTATTTGAGAGAGAGAGAGAGCACAAGCAGGGGGAGCAGCAGAGGGAGAAGGAGAAGCAGGCTCCCTGCTGAGCAGGGAGCCCAACATGGCACTCAATCCCAGGACCCTGGGATCATGACCTGAGCCGAAGGCAGATGCTTAACTGACTGAGCCATCCAGGAGCCCCTACTTGCTTATTTTTACAAACATTGCAAAGCCAGCTTATTCACTTACTCTTGGAAAGGGTCCAGTTTTCTCCACATACCTCTCTCTCCCATCACTCTCTCCTATGGAGTGAGTGCTTTCAGAATCATATTAGCTATTAGAGGACTTGTCATGAATTCAACATGAGATAAAAGAGATTGAGATCTTCTGGTGATACTTATTTCAAATAACTGTCTTTCTCCAGTCTAGAGTGATCTTATCAAGTTCAGAAGCTCAGTGTGTGTGTGGATGGAGGGGGTCTTCATTAATAAGATTCTAAACAATTTTTTAAAATAATTTCACCAAATCCTGGTGAAACTCTCCATGGCTCTATCTGTCTCCCAAAGACCCTATTTCCCTGCCAGAGAACACGAGGTTAAAGCTCGTGTGTCTAGCTCTTCCACACACATGGAAGACCAGAGCAAATGGGAATATAAAGGAGAGATGCAGCACATAAACTGTCTCTTGCCTGATTTCCTTTAGATCCTGTTAGGCATTTGATCTCATGGCTGTTTATAATGGGAACAAAGGGTTTTCAAATTTGCGGGGAATTTGTAAAGAGTCCCAGGAATCCTGGGATTAAACCCCAGATAGCTTGCTTCAGTGGCTTTGTTTTTTCAATAAGACCCCAGATTTGGAGGGAGGGGGGTGAATGTGGGCTATGGACCACTGGGAGAGAAATGCTGCCCTAATGATTTATTGTAGATCAATTGTGTGCCCAGTTGTTTTCAAAGTTTGATAACTGCCTTTGCTTCTATAAAAGGTCTTTGGTCTGTCAACTGAAGCTTAGCTCTTGAATGTGCCTGTAGACCAAGTTTTTAGCTTGAAATCATTGTGTTCTTTGAGTACCTATCATAAGCAGAAGATACAAAACGGCTTAGAGAGAGAACACACAAATAACTGAGTGGTTCAGCTCTACTTCAGGACTCTCAACCTAATATCCCAAGTTGCTGATGATAAAGATCAGACTTTTTAGATTATGTAGACTGAAATGTCAAACGGGGCTTTCTTCTTGGATGGGGTCCGTACTTCCATCATGCATTTGGCAGACGGTGCCTCTCTCTACATTACTTGAGTAACATACAGTTGAGTTTTTCTCCTTCAGGTAACTTGTGCCGTTGCACTGGATATAGGCCCATAATTGATGCATGCAAGACTTTCTGTAACGTGAGTAGAAAGGAATACAGTTTTTGAAGATTTTATTTACTTACCTATTTATTTGAGAGAGAGAGAGATTGAGTGCGGCAGTGGGGAGGGACAGAGGGAGAGGCAGAGAGAATTTTAAGCAGACTCCACACTGGGTGTGGAGCCCTGTGCGGGGCTTAGTCCCACAACCCTGAGATCACATTCTGAGCCAAAATCAAGAGTTGGATGCTTAACCAACTGAGCCACCCAGGCGTCCTGAAAGGAACACGTGTTTGAGTGTATTTTTTTCTAGTGAAACAAAGCAGTAGGGAGTACCAGCTGTGATTAAGGGAACAACCATTGTTACGAATACAGGACCCCTTCTTATCTCGGGCTCTGTGATTGCTCTTTGTTATTTGATCTCGGGCAGGTGCTTACTCTCATCTCAACATTGAGCTTGCCCTCATAGTCACATAATGAGCACATAAGCCCTTTGGTATTGACCGTGGGTCATTGTTTCGAGGGTTTTTCCTGATCTGTTTGTGTCAGGTGCCCTGCCCCCTGCAGCCCTCTGTGCATGCCCCTGTCACAGCAGTGGTTACACCGTGGTTTCATTCCCACTGGCTGTCCCATCTCTCCATCAGACAGTGGGCTGCTTGACAGTGCAGGCTGTGCTTCTCCAGGGCTGGTCACCACGCACTGATTGAGTAGCCACTCAGTCACTATGTGTTGCGTGAATAAATGAACAAACAACCTGGGAATGAGGGACAGAAGATTGCCCTTTGGACATTAAATTATGAAATCAATATGTCATAAATAAGAACTGAGTGGTAGTCATAGTAATTGTTAATATATATCATTAATAATATATTAAATATTATTAATATTGTTAATATTTATTGCTGAGTGCCAGACTTGTTATAAGATTTTTACATATTTTAACTTGTTGAATAATCACTACTATTCAAATTTTCTCATAAGCTTAGATTTTTTTTATTAGAAGTTAGTATGGATATGTTTATATACACATGGTTCTTTTTCATAACATTTTGCAATATTGATTATGCATTCTGTTTCAACTGGCAGTCACCTGTTTTATTTAATAGTTAGTAGAGGGGACTTTGCTTCCTGCCTGGAATTTGCATTTCATCTCCAGCTTCAGCAACTCACCTCAGAAGACCAGCCCTTCCTGGGCTGGACCAGCTGCTTTTCCACCTAGGTGAGGACCAGTACCAGGCTTGACTCAATAGAGGTGTGACATCAGCAAGATGGTGAAATGGGAGTTTTCTACTCTCTTCTTCCCAAAGGACACCAATTTTCACAATCACTCCTGTGTAAGCGTGACTTATGGAAGTCGAGGAGTCCAGTGGAGAAATCTCATTATACCAGTGGAACAACAACAACAATAAATCCAAGATTGTAAGCATCGAAGAGAGTGAAAGGAACAGTTTCACTTTATGTGCATCATCCTTCCCCCAAGGCGGCATAGTTCAGTGCCAAGTCAGACCTTCTTGGCTCATGATTTATCCCATGGGGGAATGTGAGAGTATGTGAGTGGGTATCTGGCTTCCCCAGCTGGGTGGACACTGCCAGAGAGGCCCACTTCTTTCTCGCCCCATCCAGAATACTGAGGAGTGCTGGGGGCAGGAAAAGGTGGGAGAAGAGCAGCCAGGACTCTGAGAGGGCATCAATAGAACATGGATCCTACTAACCACGAGCAACAAGAAAACATGGAAAGATAATTCAACAAGATCAGGAAAACAATACATGAACTAAATGAGAAGTTTAACAGAGAGATAGAAATAATAAAAAAGAGGCAAACAGAAATTCTGGAACTGAAGAATACAATAAATGGAATCAGGAACAAGACAAGGATGCCCACTCTCACCACTTCTGTTCAACATAGTACCAGAAGTCCTAGCCAAACAATTAGGCAAAAAAAGAAATAAAAGGCTCCAAACTGGGGGAAAAGAAGTAAAATTGTGCACATGACATGATTTTATGTATAGAAAACCCTGAAGACTCCACCAAAAAAATTGTTAGAACTAATCAATGAATTCAGTAAGGTTGCAGGATGATATTATATTAAAACTCAGTTGTGTTGTTATATACTAGCAAGCTATCAGAAAGATTAAGAAAACAATCCTATTTATAATAGCATTGAAAACAATTAAATACTTAGGAATAAATTTAACCAAGGAAGTGAAAGATCTATACACTGAAAACTATAAGACATTGTTGAAAGAAATTGAGGAAGACAGAAATAAATGGAAAGATATCCCATGATCATGGATTGGAAGAATTAATATTGTTAAAATGTCCATACTACCAAAACAATCTACAGATTCAATGCAATCCCTAACAAAATTCCATTAGCATTTTTCACAGAAATAGAAAAAAAATCCTAAAATTTGCTTGTAACCAAAAAAGACCCTAAATAGGTAATGCAATTTTGAGAAAAAACAAACTGGATACATCACACATCCTGATTTCAAACTGTTTCACAAAGCTGTAACAATTGAAACAATATGGCACTGGCCTTAAACCGACCCACAGACCAGTGGAACAGAATTGAAAGCCCAGATAGAAACTCATGCATATACGGTCAACTAATATTTGACAGGGGTGCCAAGAACACAATCGGGAAAGGATAGTCTCTTCAATAAATGGCTTGGGGAAAACTGAATGAATTGTACCCCTACTTTACACCACTCACAAATGAACTCAAAATGTATTAAAGACTTAAATGTAAGACCTGAAACCATAAAACTCCTAGAATAAAACATAGGGGGAAAATTCCTTGACATTGGTCTTGGCAATGATTTTTTGGATATGAAGCCCAAAGCACAGGCAACAAAAGGAAAAATAAACAAGTGGTATTATCTCAAACGAAAAATCTTCTGCATAGTGAGGGAAACAATCAATGAAATGAAAAGGCAACCTAAACAGTGGGAGAAGATATTTGCAAACCATTAACCATAGGGAGTTAACATCCAATTATATAAGGAACTAATGTATCTCAGTAGCAAAAAAAAGGTAATTTGATTAAAAATGGGCAAAAGATCTGAATAGACATTTTTTTAAAAAAGACATACAGATGGTCAACAGGTACTTGAAAAGTACCCGACATCACTAGTCATCAGGGAATTGCAAATCAAAACCACAGTGAGATACCTCACACCTGTTAGGATGGCTGTTATCAAAATGTCAAAAGTTAAATGTTGGCAAGGATATGAAGAAAAGGGTATCCTTGTATACTGTTCATGGGGATGTAAGTTGGTGCAGCCACTATGGAAAACAGTATGGAATTTCCTCAAAAAATTAAACATAGAACCACCATAGGATCCAGCAATCCCACTTCTGGGTATGTATCTGAAGGAAATGAAATTAGTACCTCGAAGAGATATCTGAACTCCCATATTCATTGCAACATTGTTCACTATGTGGAAATAACCTAAGTTACTCAATAGGTTATAACTTATATATAACATATATAACTTATAACCTAAGTTATACCATCAACAGATGAATGTACACACAACACACACACACACACACACACACACACACACAGGAATATTATTCAGCCATGAGAAAGTAGGAAATCCTGCCATTTGCAACAGCATGGGTGAATCTAGAGGACATTACGCTAAGTGAAATTAGCCAGATAGAGGAAGACAAATACTGTATGATCTCACTTATATGCAGAATGTAAAAAAGAAAAAAAGTTGAACTCATAGAAACAGAGTGTAATGGTGGTTGCCAGGGGCAGGGACTGGGAGAATGAGAGATGCTGGTTAAAGGGCACAGGACTTCGGTTATAAGATGAATAAGCTCTGGGAATCTAATTTACAGCATGGTAACTATAGTTAATAACATTGTGTTGTGTACTTGAAATTTGCTGGGAGAGTAGACCTTAATTGTTCTCACAACACACACACACACACACAAGGATGGTAACTATGTGAGATGATGGATGTGTTCCTTAACCTGATTGTGGTAATCATTTAACAAAGTATGCATATATAAAACAATCACACTGTGCACTTTATTTTTTTTTAAAGATTGTATTTATTTATTTGTCAGAGAGAGAAAGCACTAGCAGGGGGAGCGGCAGGCAGAGGGAGAAGCAGGCTTCTCACTGAGCAGGGAGCCCGATGTGGGGCTCGATCCCAGGACCCTGGGATCATGACCTGAGCTGAAGGCAGATGCTTAACTGACTGAGCCGCCCAGGAGTCCCCACATTGTGTGCTTTAAATATATAATTTTATTTGTCAGCTATACCTCAAGAAAGCTGAAAAAATACTTAGTAGAATCAGCAATAAATTCTCGATTATTTGTTTTTTTCACCCACTAGACTTCTGGCTGCTGTCAAAGTAAAGAAAATGGGGTTTGCTATCTGGATCAGGGAATAAATGAATTACCAGAATATGAAGAAATAAATAAGGTCAGTGAAATGTAAATTTTTTATAAGGCTTTCTCAGGACATGAACAGAACCAACTTACTTTCAGGAAGAATAAATGGCTGCCTAACTTGACTCATTTGATGGATTTCAACATGTCCCCCCCTCTCCATTCTCAGTCTTCATCCAAAAAAAAAAAAAATCTGTCTTAACAACTTTATTCTTCATTCCAGATATTATTCTGGTTCAAGTACAACTATCCATAGGAGAGAAAACACATTGATCCCTTAATGTCTCTTAGTTTTTTTGTTTTTTTTTAATAAAGCTTTTCAAGTCTTTTTTCAAGAGCTAGAAGCAAAGTGAAGACGTTAGGGAAATGGAAGAACTGGCAGAGGGAGAAGTGATAGGTGGCAATTTGGGGAAACACTCTTGTTCTCAGCTGCTGGTGCCTCCTCTGTTTTCCCAGACTGCAAAGAGAATGTTTGCTCAGGAAGTTGAGCTTTGGAGGACCATTGGCATCTGCACTGAGTTGCTAGTAACCAGGTCTGTGTTAGAGCCCTTGACTTAGAACCCAGAGAGTGTGGCTGGCCAGTCGGCTTTTTTTCTGTCTGCTGTATGTCTTTCTTCTTCTGACCTCATTCCACAAAGGTTTTAAAGTAGTTAGAGTTGTCTGATGATAATAACTCCTGTTACTTTCTTTTTTTTTTAAAGACAAGTCCAAAACTCTTCTCAGAAGAGAAGTTTCTGCCATTGGATCCAACTCAAGAATTGATATTTCCTCCAGAGCTAATGGTAAGGCAAAGTTGAGCTCATTATAGAGGAATTCATGGTGAGATGTTTAGGAAGGGTATTGTTTATGGATCCTTTCAGAAGCTGATTGATTGGCAAATGCCATCTGCCATTCTTAACCCAAGGTCTAAATAGTATGGGACTAAAGCAGAGATGAGTGAATGAGGGTAGAGCCATCATGAGGGGATAGTTGACTGTTAAAGCAGCAAATTGTATCAATAAGAAAATGTCATGAAATGACATCACAACATTTATAAATGTAGATATGTTTCCTACTTCCAACTTTGTTTTATTCTTCCATAGAATGGTTTGACAAAATTAAGCATATTAAGATATTTTTAAACATTAAAATGAATTCCTTTGAGATATAAAAGCAGCAAAGGTAGATATAGGAGAACAGTCTCCAGAAGGAATAAAATATTTTTATATGTTTAATCTGAACTCTGATTCCTTAGTAAAGCTTTACTTTTAGGTCACTTTTATTTTATTTTTTAAAAAGATCTCCATTTCCTTTCTCTGTTTCCTATCAAAATGGGGCAGAAACAGGTGAAAATGTTGTCATGAGATGATCTTGAATCCCTCTTGCTGTTTTAACAGATAATGGCTGAGAAACAACCACAAAGGACCAGGATTTTTAGTGGTGATAGAATGACATGGATTTCTCCAACGACCCTGACGGCACTTCTAGAAGCTAAATTCAATTATCCTCAGGCCCCTGTTGTCATGGGGAACACCTCTGTAGGTATGTAGAACCCCAGGGACCTCTTATAAGGGAACTGAGGAAAAGGACTTTGGAGGAAAGAACCTCATATATACATATTCTCAGGAAAAACAGTCTGAAAAAGTACTTTTAACTGTTTAGACTTGACTTCCTCGGGGTTGCTCAAGAGACATTCACAACTTCCATGACATAGGTAAATTCCTATTGCCCGGAATCAGAGCAGTGCATAGAGTTGCACCCAGGAGATCTGCTTCATAACAACTCAGAAGTAGCAGTTCTAGTCAGCTGTCCTTTCTTTCCATGTGGCGATTGATCTTAGGCTCATATTTGAAGTTGCTCTTTGTTTCCTTTTTCGGTGGTATCCTGATAGATATGAAATGGTTTTCTTACACTGCAGCTACAGGGTCTCTCTATTATGTCTGTTGTGAACTCAGTTTGACTGCCTACTTCTTTGAGGAATCTCCCAGTGTCCTCCCAAAGAGAATTTTTGAGTATGCCACAAGTCCTCTCATACTAGTCAGCCAAGACTTCAAGCTGACGAGTTCAAAGTATCCTCCGAGTTCAGTGGAAGTCCATCTGGCTTGTCTCTGGGTGATTTGGCAATGACCAGACCAATGGAAAGATCTGTAATTTTTATGTATTTAAAGATAATCACTTTTTTTGAGAGAGAGTGAGAGACTGTGTGAGCAGGGGAGGAGGGGCAGAGGGAGAGAGAGAATCTTCAGCAGGCTCCATGCCCGGCATGGAGTCCCACATTGGGCTCAATCTCACAACCCTGAGATTGTGACCTGAACCAGAGCCAAGAGTCAGACACTTAACTGATTGAGCCACCCAGGCACCCAAAGATAATCGCTTTTAATCACAACTTCAAAAATTTTTTTCTAATCCTTAGGGCCTGATATGAAATTTAAGGGTGTCTTTCACCCAGTCATAATTTCTCCAGATGGAATTGAAGAACTGAATTTTGCAAACTGTTCACATAATGGTGAGTTCTTATGGTCCCTGTTTTCTTAGTTCACATTCATTAATCAATTTATGTCCTTTGTCCAGCAGACAAGCAGAAAAGAATTATTCCTAATTATAATATACAGAGATTCTCTCCTTATAAAAATGATAACACTCTGGAGGAGACCCAGGGAAGAATTCTCTATAGTTACATGAAATACTAACTGTCTGAACAGTCTACTGAAAAACTTTCTATGTCTGCCGTATCAGAGAAGTGTAGCAACTATCCAATGAAGGGTATTGTGCTAAGTCCTGGATAGAAGATAAGGATAAATAGAACACAGTCTTTGCTCTCCAGAAGCACAATAGTAAAGAGAGCAGGTTTATGTATTGAGCAGCTTACAGACTGGCTCATCTCTTCCCACAAAGGAAATTGATTTATTGACAATGATGAGAAGTAATGTAAATGTGGGTTTGGAGTCTAGCTCTGGAGTCTAATTCTTGACTGTTTCGCATATTAGCTGTGAGAACTTAGTTGAGTTCTGAATCTGTTTCTTCATCAGTGAAATGGGGCTATTCTCTCAAAGATTTCTTAAGATTCAAGGAGATTCTGTGAAGCATTCAGCATAGTAAAAACATTTAGTCTACATCACCTTCATCACTACCACCACCTCTACCTTCATCACCACCATCACCAGCATCACCTCCATCACCTCTACACCTTCATCACCAACTCCATCACAACCACCACCACCCTCACCTCCACCTCCATCACCACCACCACCACCACCCCCATCACCTCTATCACCATCTCCATCACCTCC